GCTAGTTAATATTTTAAATATTCGACACTATAAATATTGCTAGTCGATATTTCAAATATTCGACACCATTAAAAGTGCTGCTCAATATTTCAAATATTCGACATCATATAAATTGCTAGTTAATATTTTAAATATTCGACACTATAAATATTGCTAGTCGATATTTTAAATATTCGACACTATAAAAATTGCTGGTCGATATTTCAAATATTCGACACTATATAAATTACTAGCTAATATTTTAAATATTCGACATCATAAAATTGCTATACTATTTGTGTACATCGTTCTAATCATTTGATTTAAGAACAAGTCCATAACCAGTGATTACCATTGCTCGTAACACCTGCGACAAGCAAGTAAACCGACATCGACAATATTTAAAAATTGTTTAGGTTCCTCTTATGGTTATGCAAACTATTTCTGTCATATATATGTACGTATGTCTTCTATGTGTAATTCGATACAAATGATTATAATGAGAGACACATTCGTAAATGTCATTCATAATAATGTTTCGTACGTACTATGAAACGGTTATTTTTATTAAAATGAAACCCATCCACCGCAGAATTGGAGTTTTATTATTATTCTGCACGTCGAGACATGGAATAAACATTTTTCACAAAGTGCACGAACATTTTTGATTTTTGATTGATCGTGTGCTTTTCTCGGTATTCACTTTATTTTATGTAATGTAATAGCCATCGCCTGACTGTTACAATCAGGAGACCATCAGATTATTAAATTTAGAGAATTTTCTGTGATCTAACAAATCAAAATCTCGACGCGTAGTAAAAACAGGACATTTTCTTCCGTGACAGTTAAATCGCGAAATTTACCAATGACAGCGACGTATGTATGTATCAGTGTAACGTTTAACGCAAATATTTGAAGTAGATTACTACCTCGCATTAATCATCGCAAACATGCTGAACAGAAAAGAAAGTAGCCGAAGTACACATTAAAAAATATTGCCGCGAGATAAAACGAAAAAAGAAGGAAAAAAAGTAAAGAACATTTCACGGGGGGGGGAATTTATGTTCCGAACGTGTAAATGATCAATTGTAATGACAGTCTATCGAACAGTATTAACGACGCTGGTGTCGTCGTGTTTTTTAAACGATGTTTAAAACAAAAAAAAAACAAAACACAGAGAGAGAAAAGAATTTGACACACACGAACGGTGGAACGAATTGCAACAATTACTCACGATTAAAAGAAACAAAAGAAATCTATTGTATTTCAATAGTGGCTCAGTAGAAATAATAAGTAATTTTGGATACAGACTTACCTACCCCTTCGATCACGTAACGATCCTTAGAACTCATGTCCGCGATCTCCGTCACGCTCACAACGATTTTCACGCTCATCGCCGCACAATTAAACGAATAAATTGCAAACCCGTGCGCTCCGGAACGATCAGTCTACGTTACTATTCCTCGTAACTCCTTGGCTCTTTTTTTTTTTTTCGATATTTCCTAGTAATACTGCGTCGTCAGCGATTCACGATTTTGTCCACAGAATGCGTCTCTCGTGTCACGTGTTTCCTTCGATTCCTCTAATCAAGGAGAAATTAATACTCTGTCCGAATTTAATATGTACCGACAGACATCTCGATCATCTCTTTTCAATCTTAGAAATGTCAGAGACGTTTCTCGCCCGAGTAATTTTGCGAGCGCGCACCTGAGATCTCCCGATATTAAAATTAAACTTCTATTAAAGGTAATAGATTGTTGTTGTTATCGTTATTATATAACAGACTGTTTAATCTCTCGCGTTACAAGCTTCGTGCGCAGCTATGTACATCTGCCGTTTTGACGTGTGAATATGTGGAAGGCTCACACGCGCGTTGAATAGAGAAGATTCCTCTTTCAATTATTTAACACGCATAATGTATTTGACGTGCACGAAACGAAGTTGGAGTTGAATGCTTGTTTACGCAGGATGCTATGTGCGACTGGATCGGACGGGTATGATGTTTCGTTTCAGAGTCAGTCACATATTTTATACAGAGTTCTTCAAAGACAACGTGTGTATCTTTTTTTTCTTCTTCTTCTTCTTTTCTCTCCACTGAACGAATGCAAATCAACGTTCCGTCGCTCTGGAAGTAATTCCCCGGGAAAAACAGAATCGCCATACGCCGAGCGCACGGCGAGTATTCCGGATTGATACGAGAGGAGAAGCCAGCGATTGTTGATCTAGATCCTTGTCGCGATATATGTACATACTACGATCCAAGGCACGTTATAGAGGCAACAGCGTTTCCTGGCGGGCCATAGGCACAACCTTGAGGTGTCTAGACGCGGCAGATACTGTTACGTAAAGCCAAAGTTACGAACTCCGATTTTCCGGCTTCTCGGCGATACACACGGCCGGCGAACATGCCGCGTCGATGATGACACTGTACACGTTTCTCCAAATGCCCGCGCATTTTCTTCATAAGTCATCTTTCGTCTCCTCTGTCGCTTATGCACGAGATAATAATTAATTACGTTTACTTTGCTGGCGACGGGCGATACGGTGCAACACCGTTTTCGTATGTTTCGATTATAAATGAAATATTCTTCTCGTCGACGTCTTCTCTTTCGTTGGTTTTATTCGATATTATTATTCTCCTCTTCTACGAGAATTTTGCACCGTTCACTGGTATACATCATCGATCAGTTCGATCCACATTCTTGATTTTAACCACTGGTCCGCGCTGGCAACTGACTGCGGACCATAACGAGCGACCGAACCGTGCACAGTAATTCGTCGCTTTCTTTTCGAACTCGCCGGTACGATGTCACTTGATAGAAATTATTGAGAAGTCATGTAATAAGTTTGTTACTTGTTTTGCCCGGGTTATACTTAAATATATTTAAAACTAAAAGGAAACCATTGCAATTTTGGGAGAAAAGATTCTCAACGTGCGTGGCACGTCATTCCAGCGCGAAACGTTGACAGCGTTCACGTTCAGTTTCTTATGTGTTTAACATATTATCTTTGACTGTACTTTTCAGTAGAATTCAGTAGAAATCAGAATGCTTCGCAATCATTCGTGCCCAAACTTTAAACTGTGTATCAATAACCACATTTCGAACGATGCGATGTACTAAGATTACGTTCGCATTTGAAAAGAAAACACACGGTGTTCCTCGTCGTTGGACGAGGCGTAGAATAATTCACTGGTCCAATTTTTTTTTTCTTTTTTTTTTTTTTGCAAAGAAATGGAACGTTGGAGCAGAAACAAATCCGAGGAACGACAAAGAGGAAACACAAACTGTTCGCGCCTGTCGTTCGTTCAAACGATAATCATCTTCGCGAAACAATTCTCCCGTCGATAGATACGCCGACCGATCGCGAACCACGTGCTAAACAACAATCGCGACTTTCGAACAGACAAAACTCGACGCGCGTGCGAAAACACCCGGAGAGAGACTAACACACTGTATCCTACATCCATCAAGCCGGATTCAACGTAAATGACAGAAACCACTGCTTGTTCTTTTCTGTAACGACAGGTGTATAGTTTGGTGGGATACTAAAGGCAGGTATATACACACGCACACACATGTAGATATATATATTTGAGTGGGGATCGCGAAGGTGGGGATTAAACCTTCAAGAACGAAGCAGTAGAGAGGCACAAGGTAACCTCTTGTTCACGCATCCTGCGATGAAATGTTATTGTATTTTAGAATTTAATGATCCGTCCCGTTTGTTAAAATGTCGTCCAATTAGGCCCCGATCGTTTCGACGAGTTAGCAGCCGAAATAGCCGAAATAGAGGTACTGTGTGTGTATATTTTTCAATTACTCTATTTTAATTCGGAGTATTGGAAACTTTTATAGCCGTGACTCATATATACGTGCATACATACGTATGTACGTACGTACACGCGGATATTGATAACGTCAGTGTTGTGTTATTGAAATTTCTGTTATTTCAAAAGCTTCGAGCACGTTAGTAGAATAAATTAATTACACGATGAAGAACTAATCGTAAGATCGGAAAGATTCGTCCGGTCGTAAGTGTAGCTTGTATCGTTCTTTCAATCTTGCACTTCAGAAAAAACATTTGATTACGCTCGCAATAACTGTTGAATCGTCATACGTTATTCTTGTCCGTTTTTTGTGATTGCGATACCGTAATTTATACAGAAAAAGTTTCGCGTAAAAATAATTTCTTTCTCAAGACACGAATCGGAGGTGAAATATTTGTAAGATAGTCGATCGGAATAACGGAAACGAAAAAAAGAAAAAACGAGAAAAGAAAGGAAAGAATTTGCTTCTAATAAATATGTTAATAACTGGATGCAATTACAATCGAGAAGATCGTGGATCGTCGTGAAACGATTTGAACAATTCAATTACCCACGTTGCTCGATGTATTGAAAAATTTACACTCACTTGCAGCAGTAACAAGTGACGACTGACTTACGAGATATATTACTACTGCAGCTATTTAAAAAAAAAAATGAAGAAGGAAAATGACATTTAATCGTTCAAAGGAAAAAATTCTAAAAATACGTCCCCTTTGTTTTTCTTTCTTTTTTTTTTTTCTATATGTTTATTTATAATACATCGTCGCTTATATATTAACATTTAGTATTTCTGTGGAATGAATTACATGTAGACTAATAATTGTACTTTGGATACGTCTCGCAAGATTTTCTAGGTGAAAATTACTACAAATGCGAGCTCTCGTACAAATCAACTTCACTCAGAAAATGATTCTACGAGTCAAAGCATGCTAAAGGCGTATATTTGGTAACATTTCCTTTGCAACAGACGCGTGTGCGTGTTTCTCCGGTCAAAATCGATGACACGTGTTGTATAAAAATTTTTATTTAATATTGCTTTATCAGATAGGTGATTTTGACGAAAACCGGAGAGATTATCGATCAATAACGCACGATATCCGATACATAAATATTAATGTCAGATTGAAATCTACAAATCTACTTTGTTTCAATTCGCGCGATACAAATCTTCGTTATATCATATTAAAGACAATTTAAGTTTCAAAAAGTTCCTTTAATTTCTGCAGTTACAACACAACATATTGATGATCTGTCTTATAAATCACAATTCAATTACTATCTATCTATTTATTAATTACTTTATGTAACAAAGTTTTCTTTCAACTCAACTTCCGTGAAATCATTTAAATACATGTTCTGCTATTATTTGTACTCGCTCATGGCAAATCTGATCTACGTATTGAACAGTTTTACAGATTGTTACACACGGGGAAAATCTAGACAATTGTGTGATTGATGTAATTGATGATCGGCTGTTTACAGGTCGATTTCATACGCGAGAGATATACTGCGGCGATTTCATTAAATTTCTAATATACAAAAAAAAAAAAAAGGATACCACATCAATTCTTTCTATGATAAGATAATTCTTATCACGCGATAGTCGATAAATTAAGTACAGATTATATGCAGAACATTTTTTTTTTCTTTCTTTCTTTAACTTTTGCATCGTCAACTTGTATTCACATTCATTTTAATTATCCTTCTTCATACGATTAGAAGTCATCCTGTATATTATAGAATCCCGGCCTGGATCCATTTGCGAAATGGCAACTGTTTTCGTAATGAAACAAAGTTATAAACGACACTCGTAACACGTGGCAAATAATAATAACAACAATAATAATAAACGAAAAGATTATTACGTACTGCAAATAGCAATTAGTGAAAAGACATAAAAAACTCCAAACCATAAGAGGATATTAAAGATGACCGGATAATTTTCCGAGTACGTTTTCGCGAGATTCAGCTTTTCCTGGAACAGAAAGCTCGATGTGTAGAGTATTATATTTACACATGCAACAGCACAGCTGCAAAAAACCTTACGCATTTAATTTATACATGTGTGTGTTCTAAATTGTGTTGTATCGGCAACTAGCGAGTGTCATTATCATTATGTACAATGTGGCTGGTGTAAATGTGAATTGATGTAAATCTCATGTGTTCGTTCATTGTACTTTTTTTTTTTTTTTTTTTTTTTTTTTTTTTGTTTATTTAATACGTTTCGTATCGCCGGTGCATGCTTACCGACAAAAGCAACATTCGGAGCTTGTTGCACTTTTTTTTTTTTTTTTTGAATACGAAACGTATTAAAAGACGTATCGTATTCGTGTCGTTTTCTTTTACTCTAAAATCATCATCCGTGCATTTTACTGAGCAGTGTGCAATCAAACGACACATTACAGTTAAAAACTAACTGAGAAATATTATACCGATTATATCAGTGAAAGAGAATTTTCATACTGCTCTTAGATCTAAACAACCAACATCCAATACTCGCCAATAGTCTAACGCCACTTAAAAAAGAACAAAGCGGGGAAACTGACAGCGATCAATTGAAAGCCGCATTCAGAGGTACTAAACTATTGGCTGCAAGCATTCTAAAAGAAGCGGTGCGTTTTCTAAAGCTTTTCGGTAAATTCTTCATATATATATAAGCGTGTGGATAATATCTCGCAAACTGAAACCACGTACATCCTTTACTTTAACGATTATATCTATCATTCAGTATGCAAACTTGTCATGTAAAATGTTTTACGGTTTTCCGCTTCGAATAACGCCGTGTAATGTATAGAACAAGTAAGAATAAAATAATTCGTTCGGTATTCTCTCGAAATAACATGTGTTGTATAAAAATGTAGATGACAGTAAAAAACTTCAATGGAAACCTGGTTTGCTTTACGAGAATTATTAATGGCTAATTGCGACAACATTAGTGTCTTGCTGTTCAAATACATAATGCAAGTAGATTTAATGAATTAAACTGATTCGATATAATTCGTGACTTTATAGCATCGAAAATTATTCGTATTATTATATGAGAATATTGCAACCCTCGGTGATGCGCATTAACCTCTTCAGTGTGATATAAAATAAAAGAGGATCGTTGAATGTCACGATCAATAATGAGATGTTATGCGTGATCGAGTAGTAAATCTTAAAATCATAGAAGTAAAAGAAGTATGTGGTGTCAATGTAAGTAATATCTCATGGAAGAATACTTTAATATATTGTAATTATAGATGGATATAGGTGAAAGCTTTTGAGCTTGAGAGCATTTTTTTTTTTTTTCCATGAAACGACAACGTATTTTGTACCAACGTATCCGTTCCCGCACGGCTTTTTGGCACTTGTTGTCACCGACATGCCCTAAATTCTACTCGAATTCTTTCAATTTTCAATTTTGCTCGACGTTTCGTTAATATACAAGGTACTCTATCAAAATAAGATATTCTTATCGAAATCATCACGCAATTTAACTATCAAATAAAATATCAGGAGATCTGTATGCTAACTAAATATAAAAGCTAAAGAATAATTTTTTTTTTTTTTACATGTTTATATATATATATATATATCGCTGAAATAAAACGGGGGAGATATCGAACATTCCTCCAATAAGCGTATCCCTAATTCTCGTTTGATAAAATGCGTCAATAAGATTGTCAAATAATATGCAAATTAAAACTTTAGAATGCATGTTAAGGGGTTTTTGTGATACCTGTCCTATACTTTGTATGTCGAGGTATGTTTTATGCTCCATATTAGTCAAATCCTGATTTCCACTATCATCACGAGTATCGTTATTCGCAGTCGAATTTTTCATGTCACTGTGGGGTATGCTAGTCTTATTATTATTTGTATTCGAATCCTCTTCGTCTTCTATGTTTTTCTTTTCATCACGTTGATCATCTTGCTACAAGTACACGTGTTTTATGTAAGCAACATATTGTTGCATAACTCAAAAATAATCCAAATCTAACTTAGTATGGTAGTCACAGTAGTTGCCGATCTTGGATCTCTCTACATGTTTGATCATATCATTGTTGTTCGAATTCATTTTTGCGTGAAGTGAAAATTTTCAATCGAGTATTTCGATTTTGTGACGACTACTGTGAAAATTTATATTAACGTGATATTTTGTCTATTCGACAGAATGTACTATTATTTCCTGATCTTGTTACATTTGTTTCAAACCGGTCGACGACCCAACCATGACCTATGTTAATTGTTGCAAATTCCAATCTTGTGAATTTTTGTAACGCAGCAACAAAAGATTAGTTAGTCATTAGTTCTTAAACAATGAAATGAAGCTAATGGAAATAAAATCAATTTCTTTTTTGTTTCACTTTAGAGTATTATCGTCTTTTGTCCGAGTTTCTCATGTTTCTTTCTTATTACGCCTGATAGGTACATGGAATCAACATAAACTTCTTGTTCTCATTTTAACAACGGAATAAAAAACAAAGAGATAATATTGAATTTGTTCGTTCAATGATCGTTGATCGTTTGTTCTGACCACTGATCGAAGCCATATTTACTCATCATTGTTTCTCGGAAAATCAATTAACAACATCAAGTATACAAGAATGTCAACTGTCAGTAATAATCACCACATTGTCTCTCTTTTAATAACTTCAAGGAACTGCTAATGGCGACCATCAGTGGTAGCGATGAAAAATTAAACAAAGTTCAACTGAAATTTGTAAGATTTGAGTAAAATTGATAATCTGAATATTGTGCTCTGCTTGTTGAGATGTATCATATATTAATTTTAGATTTATGTTCTTGTATACACTGTAGTAGTAAAGTCAAATGTTGAATATTCCATGGTAATTTAACATACCAAAGAAATGTTTTGAAATTGAATTGAATTATAAATATTGTCTGCATTGTTCATTAGCACGTTTAAAAATCATGCAAGAAGCTACCTCTATTTTTGTATACTTGTTGAGTTTCAGCACAATATTTGTTCATGCAACGGTATGAACAGATCTTTATCAAATTATGATTATAATTATTATAATGATAATTATTGTTATTGTCTTATTAAATATTACACTATTATTCATCCGTTTAGCTTCCGAAATAAATTCTAGATATTTAGTTCTATTAGCCTATAAAATATATAGGTGTTAGACATACTCATTGTATATTCTAACATAACTTTTATTGTGCTTGTAATGTGAATGTGTAGTCATTAATCACATAAATTAAAAACATTGATTAGTGACATTTTGAAATCTTTTTATCATAATGTTCAGTTTCTACACGTAACATAGCTAGTTTCGGATGTGTTATAAATAATCATATATTTAAATAATCCTAACACTGTGACCCTAATAGTATCAACAATCTATCAACAAATTTTCTTTATGTCCAACCCAACAAATAAGTAGGATAAGTACAGTATCTTAAAGAAAGGTAGATCCAATCTGCCACCTTTATCAGCAGCTTCTTCAAAAGCTAGAATATAATATATCAAGTATATTACAAAAACTATATATATGTTACAAATGTTGTTCAGATCCTTTTATAAAATTGCTAGTTAGTTTATATTAGATGATGTCAATATACATTATAAATGCAAACAATTGTTTCATTAAATAAATAGTTATAGAATATGGCAGCATTGATAGTACAAATGCATATAAACTGATTTTTCATGCAAACGTAAATTGAAGTTGTCTAATACACTTTTGTAAATTGAATCATGTCTGAAAACAAAGATAATATTCATTTCGACAATATTATTTTCTATTTCGTACAAATGTTTTTTCTTACTTATAGCTTTACTTAATATAGCTTTTCCAGATTATCAAAAGTAATAGTTAAATACTAGAGTTAAATATTAGTTAAATACTAAATCATAAAAGTAATATTTATATGAAAAAAAAAATATATTCTATATACTTTATTTATTTGCTCATAATACATTTGTAGCATCAACATTGCTAAATGTTATACACGAAATGTTATACACGAATATGCATGATCCATTAACTGTAATATTTTATGAAAAATGTATTTGTATAAATGCATACACTTACTCTGAAGTATTGAATTTCTTTTCTTCTAATTTTTCTAAAGTATCGTTCAATTACAAATTTAACAAACATGTAAAATTATTTTTAATTGATCCTTTTTCAAACTTTTTAAATTTGTAAAGTCATATACAAGCTATTAATTTTTAGTGCTAATATTTCTACGATCTCCGACTTGAAAAAAGTCGTTTTCTAGTAAAAAAATTAACACAAAAAAAATCAATATCTCGTAATGTTCAAAGTTTGAAAAAATCAATTGGAACGAATTTCATACAGTGTATTTAACTCGTTTCTTTCTGTTTATAATTATGAGTTTACTTTATAAATCATATATAATTTTAAATACAAACCCTATCTGAAGTATCCCGTTTTTGCCTTTCTAGAGTTACTGAACGGATATGATGTACCTTACTTGCATCATTCGTGAATGCCACAATTAATACCTAGATAAAAACATTTAAACATTTCTTTATACATTTTACTACATTACATAATAATAAAAGCAATACATCTGTATAGTAATAAATTTTACAAATATTCTAATAGAATCTTACCTGACCGTCATAAGCTTGAATAAATGCATCGTGAATAACATTCAGAGCATTATCAAACAATGACAGAGCTTCCCTAGATGTAGTTGAATTACTTCCATAAGTATCAAAAATGGGGCGCAAACTAGATATAACAAGCCAATAAATATCAGACTTTGAATCTGGTTTGATTGCTGAGGGTACTTTTTTGGCAATGGCATGAAGCAACTGTACTTCCTCGAGGAATTTTTTGTCCTCCTCTTTTCTTAAACTTAAAGATCTTAAAGATGTTTCATCAATGGGAGTGGGTTTCAATTCTCCAAGAGCCGACTGTCCCAGCTAAATTTACATTAAATGGAAGTTGTTTTAATTTCAATTTTTGTACACAAACAATTTAACTAAGAACATTTGTCATTTTGTTAAAATTAACACTCACAGCATCTAAACCATCGCCCAACGATATCCTCACTAAAGTATTATCATTGTCTCTTTCTTCTAAACGTTCTCTAAGAGCCTGCCAAGTAGTTTCTTCAACTTCATTTACATTTAAAGGAAATCTTTTGCCTTTTGGTATATCTAAAGAATCTACTCCTTCTATCACTATTGCAACCACAGCTTCTGGCAATCTAAACGGATCAGTGATAGAAATGCCGCTCCATATTCCTCTCTGTAATAACAAAAATTATAACACCCAATTAAAATATTAATTATCATAAGCTGTACATTTTGCAGTCTCTAACAGTACAATTCTAGACTCAGTTTGCTAACTTCTTTTACACTCTTTCGATTAGAATCTAGAATATTACTAGAACATAGAAATATGAAAGAACATTTAAAGATTTACCAATTTGACTGTGAAGCCTAAGGCAGCAGCTAATACTTCCTTCAGCAAGCTTTGCTCCACTTCTTCATTCCCATTGAATATAACGCTATTTGGACTGTGTAGTACTACAAAATCTCCACTTGCTTTGACTGTAACAATAGGGGACAGTAATGATAATGTCTGAGGCTTGTTAATTAATCGAATACAAAACTGGATTTAAGTATCATCTAACATGAAATTCATACCTGCAACTAACGCAGCTACAAAGCACAAAAATAATTTGAACATGTTTATTTTAAACAGATACTACAATAAAATCAAGACACTCCCTTGAATTCAATATCAATTTGCAAACTGATCATATGACATTAACGTAATAGAAGGTTCAGTGGCTGGTGCATGTGCTGCCATATGATAACTGCACGAACTACGTACTCCTAATAAAAACAACATGTAGATAAGGTAGAACACGCATTCTCACATTTATCTTGCGAGTAATAAAGAATTTAGTTTTTGGATCTTTTTATCTCTGAATTTCAACTTCCTAATTTCACTTAATGCTAATTTGTTGTATTAATATTTAATTTCGTCGAATTTAACACCATCACGAGTAATGGCTCCCCATCTTATTAATTTTTCCCGTACGACTATCTAAGAAATATCTTCGGACTGTCGCTAGTGTAGTTTCTGGGCGTTAACTAGAAATGCGAGTGGTGACGTATCTTCGACTTATGATTTATGCCCGTTTTACCTCGTGACTATTGATTACTTCTGCAATCAAAATCGGGAAGTTCGTGGGCCAGTTAAATGATCAGTGGGAGCCAATCGTGTTGGAACTAAGTGTGTATTCTTAGTAAATTTATTTGATTCCTCTCAGAACGGAACTGAAGAGTTTCGTGCGTCGCGACGCTTGTGACTGTTTTAACCTAAAAATATTGGCTCTCGTTGAAATCAAATATGGGATCCCTTTTTCGAAGCGAGGAGATGACCTTGTGTCAACTCTTTTTACAAAGTGAAGCAGCTTACGCCTGTGTCTCGGAACTTGGCGAACTTGGTCTCGTACAATTTCGAGATGTAAGTGTTGCATTTTTACTGTGCCGTGATACAAAATACTCCCCAGATTTTTTTATGTCATTTCCATGCAAAATATTCGATTTTTAAATTAATAGACAGATGCATTAAACGGAATGTTGATCAAAGAATTAATAGTATTCTTAGTTGTAATGAGAAATTGTTTCTTTTAATTTTTATTTTGCAAATATTCTGTTTTAATACTTTAAGATTTATGTTATCATGTTACCAGAAACAACTTCTATGATTCATGTTCGTTCGATGACAAATAATTGTGACTTTTTATTACAAAATTATTAGATTTGTATATATGATGTTACTTTTTCTCGAGACAAAAGAAATTGACTTAAATGGCTTGGCCTTGCTAATGTAGTATTTCCTATTCCTTTCTCGATAGGAAAATAATATTACAGTTCTTGATGTTAAAGTGAAAAATTAGGTTATTGGATGAAACGAATGTATAGATTTGACTTAATTATATGTTTAGTTCTTAATTATTGATTTGGAGTCATATAAATGCTAGTGCTATGTTTTGTAATTACAAAGATACAATTTTCACGTTTTTTTTGTCTGATAAAATATTGTACGATTTAAATGTAAAAAAAAGTTAATCGAATGTATTTCGTTATTAGCTTATTATCGATAAAGTAGAGAATCGCCGGAGATAATTCAAATTGTGTAAAATATAGCGTAATTTATTGTAGAAAAATTTGATATTAATTCATATGAAGTTTTGTCTTTGAACAGTTTTAAAGATTTGTCTGATAAGAGACTGATTGTAAGGATTATAACATTACAAATCTGTTATTTCTATTTTTATCCATATTTGTATACATTGCCAATGATATAATCTAAAGAAAGATATATTAAGAGTATGTAGATATTAATTATTTTCATTAATACAGGCGTTCTTAAAGTTACAGGCATATAGAAAATAAAATTTTTAAATGAAGAAATAAACTTTTTTTATTTTTTATCATAAAAATAATCAATAGGATTTAAAGATTAAAATAAGTGCAAATACAAATTCAACCGGATTATTTCGTGCTAAATAAAAAGATAAAGTAAAGTAAATTTGTATGAGATGTGAAAAACAAATTTCTCTGGTCTTCGGTTATTATAGAATTCTTCATAATTTAAGACAAAATTTTTAATAATTTAAACAAAATGACGCAAAATACAGATATACAGAACGTTGAAAAATTATTCTGTGTAGCTCAATCCCGATGTTAATGCCTTCCAACGAAAATTCGTTAACGAGGTACGACGCTGCGACGAAATGGAACGTAAGCTGCGATACTTGGAGAAAGAAATTAAGAAGGACGGTATTCCAATGCTCGACACTGGGGAGAACCCCGAGGCTCCGCAACCTAGAGAGATGATAGATCTTGAAGCAACGTTCGAAAAATTAGAGAACGAACTACGAGAAGTCAACCAGAATGCGGAAACTCTTAAACGTAACTTCTTGGAATTGACCGAGCTGAAGCATATACTTAGAAAAACGCAGGTTTTCTTCGACGAGGTAAGAACATTCTTTTCTAAAACTTATCTCGAGCGTGAAACACCGTAGCTAGTATTACATAGCATTATATAATATTGCATTTTTTTTTTTCTTAACGTGCACGAGAAACGAATATATATAAACAAGACAAATATTATCACTCTTATTGTTATTACGCGTTCATTATATATTATAACAAATACATGTATATTATACTAATATACAGAATACAAAGAGGGGCACGTAACTGAAATTAGTTCAATGGTTTTGTAAATAATAGTTTTCGTTTAGAACTTTTAATTCCAAGAATATCGCATAATTTGAAGGCTATTATTCAGTCTATAGTATTATTATATTCGAGGAACATATGTACAAGATTCCAAACACACGTTAAAACAATACACTATGAACGTACAAATACATATTTGCTTAACTGATATTGAAAAGATATATTAATGATAAATGAGAATAAAAAACAAATTACATTAATTTTTGGTATCAAATAAGTTCCTAAAAATCGATATTTTATAATTTATATATTAATATTTATATATCAGTATATTTATTTGTAAAAGGTTAAGCTTTTTATTATATACACGTATTCACACATTAACTAATAATTTTCATCTTCCATACAAGACTGACAATGAGATATAATTTATCTAAAGAAATATAAATTGAAGTGCAATGAGCTTCTGCTTTTTGACACTATATGAACACACGACAAGACTTAAACTGTTACATTTTGTTAATTTTTATCATTTAAAAATTTTTTTTTACATATGATTTTTTAATTTATCTAAATACTATCTAAATCTGAATAATCTTTATAAGGATTTAGTATATTAACGCGTGGCAGTACTTTGGTATGTATAAAATTTTTTTTCAATTAATATGTTTTAACATTAGTTTACATAAGTATAATGCTTCAACTAGTACGAATAATTTCATAATCAAACGTTGTAATGTTATAAATCATATATTGATGATATTCACTGATAAATTTCGCTTATCGTGCAATCATAATGCTTCGATTAAGAGAAACAATATCCTACTATTTTAAATACTATAATTATTAATTCGTGAAATTTGGTCTATAATACAAATTGGTATTTAACTTACTACTACCATAGAACTTTCCATAGATAAATATTCGTATAAACAGAAAAATGCTTTTTTGGCAATTTTTGTTGAATTGTAACAAATGTAGAGACAAAATTATTCATTAAACAAGAAATGGTTTTGGAGCGAATTAAGATGCATGATAATGAAAATTGTGTAATTTGTGTTTGACATTGATGTCATCTGTTATAATTGCTTTGCAATTTTGTGCAATGAAAATAAGATTGTTTTAGCAAATACAAAGTGATAGTCATGAAAACAACAAGAATTCTAATGCTATGGATATTAAGCTGTTTTTGTCTTGTATTACTAATGATACTATTGAGTGATTTTAGGACTATTAATGTGTTAGTGTTGCCAACTAACCAAATTGCAGAATTGCAAAGGACACAAGTCACTCTATAAGCCCTATCTCCCTGTGTCCTTTATATTCCCTTATTTTTCACAAAAGATTCAATGAATTTCCAACATATTTTGTTGTTTGTTTTGTTAAATGTCTTATGGTTGGTTACATAACATTCATTAATAATGATTGGGTTAAAAACATATTTTGCACTCAATAAGAAATTCAAGAGTTTCAGAAATTTTGGTTCTTACGAGTTTCAAAATCAAACTATCGTATTTTATGTATGTGTATATATCTATATATGCAGGATGCCCCTGAAGTAATATCGATGGCTTCTTTAAGGAAGATAGTAGGGAGAATAAACTAAAATAAATATTCTAATAATATTACAATGTATTAATAAGTTGTCAAATGCATCATGATATTTAGTATCAATAACATTGTGTTATGAAGCAATTGGTTTACACAAACTCAAACGAAATTGCAGACCTCTATATAATTGTTACAATACGCTGTAAATATAATATATTGGAAGATATGCGGTGTTAAATGAGCAAATTTATGATTATTAATTTAGTCTACCTACAAATCTCCTTAAAGGAGATCATCTTTCTCAGAGGAACTGTGTATTTTAATGGAGTAGTTAATGAAATTAACATAGAATTTTTTTATGTGTAATGACATGCAATATAACCAGTTTTAAACCAATTTTGAAACGTAATATGTATATTCATATTATATATACATATGTTTCATTATAAGTTCATAGTAATTTTATTAATTGAAATATAGGAAAAATTCAGATATAAGAAAAATTATTTTTATATTTATTAGATTTGCATTATATGTATAAATTGTTTTATTAGATAGTATATTGTACAATTGAAAGTGCAATTAAATTTCATTAACAAATAACATTTTGTTTTTACAACAGAAATCTTTCACTTGTACAACAAATAGTTTAATCATTTATATTAATTTTTGATTAGAATTCGACAATATTTTTCAATTTTTAATAGAGGGTATCAAATTGGTGCTTGGAATGTTGAATATTACAAATTAGCATGCATATTAACTAAAGAATGATAGTTTATTATGTTTAAAAATCCAAAGCGATATCCTTACTCAATAATCTTTTTTGCATGAAGCATGTGAAATATTGTAAATATGTATTACATGTATATAAAGAGTGTCAATTTGAAATGTGCATGCCAACAAATTTCATAGGGAAAATTTTCTATGGAAGAAAGGTAAAGCGATATTACTATGATAACATATTTTCTGTTATATCACAAAAGATTGAAACACAGCAATTTCATAAAAGATATTCAAATGCAGTTGAACAATACATATGCAAAATATTTCTTATTGTTAGTTATGGAGAGTAAAAAGTTTTTATATTTGATCTCTATCTTTCAAATCATTTAAATATTTTAAAAAATTAATAGTTGGAGCTTTTTTAAGCTCGATCGGATAATAAACAGTTTCAACATCGATAAATTAAAATTTGATAAATTCTTGTGCAATTAATATGATAAAAGGCAATGTTTATAATTAAAAAATACTCCTTTTTCAATTTTCATTTTTTTAAATGTATTTTTCTATAAGAAAATGCAACGTCGCATGTGCAATACATAATTACATTGTTCTCTTTAAGTAGAAACTTATACTTCGTAGATCAATTGAGTCTTCTTGTTATTTTATGTTTAAAAAAAAAATGAAGATGATTTAAAAGTAACAGTTGTATTGTTGAAGATGCTTACATATTATTTTAGTATATTGTAACGATTTCATGTATAGTTTGTTCGTTGTTTTTAATGCATTATTATGATTTATGGTCGTTTATATATTTTATAGAATTAAATGATATTTGAAGTATTTTGTAACAATTCGTTCATTACGCTTTGATCCAGCATCTTGTATTAGTTCAATTCAATGTCAGAAGACATTTTTTCTGAATATGTGGATTTTTTGCAACTCGTGTCTTTTCATCAAGTCAATTAACCCTTTCACTACTATGAATTATTTGCAACTATATTACGAATAAAATCAACACGCGACATTCGCATTTTCCGAAATAACTTATACTGAAAAGCAATCAAAATTATAAAAAAATATATAAATCACTTATAATCTTATTAATTAGATACTTCAATATGTAAAATTCGTGTAAGTAGAATATGCGTGTCGTACAGCCACCAATATGTAAAATTCGTGTAAGTAGAATATGCGTTCCGTATGCCGTCAGTAGAATATGCTGTTCCAAGAACAGACATAAATATTATAGAATGTGCTGTATTAGTAGAATGTGCTCTTCGACGCGGACGGTCGTGGCGAAAGGGTTAAATGTTTCATTATTTTCTCCTAAACTCGTTCATTCTGTAGATTTCCTATCAAATCCTTTGTTCAGGAAAAATTCATTTACGCTTCATCGTAGCAAATATTATTCTCGCAACATTCTGACGAATACAATATCTTTAACATCCTGTATTATATATAATATATACAAGTTATTATCTTATATTTTTAATTTTTATTTAATTTTATAATTTTATTTAATTCTTTCTTTTTTGTCTTTGATTATCAAATCATATTGAAGCGTCCCACTTTTTATCCCCTTACAAAATTTGACAACCGCCATCCGTGTACAGATTGGTGACAAATTTGACAAGTATGTGAACAAGTATGTCGATCAAAGAGAGAAATTAAAAAAAAAAAAAAAAAAAAAAAGAAAAGAAAAAGCGGGAGATAGGGCAAAAGAGAGGTGACATGTGTCTGTTGCCAGGCTGAGCATGGAGGTGTCGTGTCGCAGATGGCAGACCCCAGCCGTGAGGAAGAACAAGTCACTCTCTTGGGTGAAGAGGGCCTCCGCGCTGGCGGCCAGGCTCTCAAGCTCGGGTAATTAGCTCTCAAGGTGGTGTAAATTCAAACGATGTAGAGCGCGACGATTTGCAAGGTTTCGTACATGATCTATTTATCAATAGAGGTGAAATTTTATGCCAACAAGATTTATTTGTTTTTTAATATCTCTGTTACTTCTAATGTATCTGGAAGCTCGTTTGTTCTTTTCGTTGTTGTTGTTTCTGAAAATTGATTTTATGATAATCGTGTGTTTTAACTTGACATACAAATACTATTGAAGATGTCATAGTACAGATTGAGTGAGAATTCATTGATTATTGACGTCCGTGAGTACTATTCGTGTAAATGTAAACGATGAAGTAATTATGACGAATTAAGAATTCCAAATGTCTTAAACCGACAATAATTATCATATCGCAATAAATCAACAAATTATATCTGGGCGAATGTCGATAATAAAATCATCATGGAAGTGACATCATTTTGAATTTTGAGATTTTGAGAAAAGAAATCCTTGCGTTCTACATTTCAGACACCAGTGACTAAAAAATCATATTTGTACGACGTAAATGTTCTATAGATTTAGCTGTCAAGCTCTTCGTGATTTTGTTAATTCTTCACCTAGTTTTTGTACGGTGTAAAGTGAATGGCGAACGCTTGAAGTGGATTTATTAAATCTATAGACACATTTTAAATTTCAAGTTAGAATCTATTAATCTCTACAATCTGCAAATATCGCAGAGCTTTTGATAAATGTTCTCTGTGCTATTAGGCTACATATAAATCTAGATTTAAGTAGAAGGCATGATGCGTCAGTGTGTTCTGTGGTTACAGCACCTGTACACTACGGCAGACACCATAGGAGCACACTATAGGAATCCCCTCAGGCAAGCTGTTATCAACCGTTATTTGCATTTGCAAATCTGTTTTGCTCAGTGTTTTTTTCTTTTTTTTTTTTTCTTTTTTTCCTTTTTTTTTTCTGTCTGTAGTTACCTGAAATCCCTTAGCTCAGAAAGAGCACTAATATTACAGTCGCTGAAACGTTTATTAAATTTGCCACTGGCAATATTCACGTGCTTATTCGTATAGGAGTGTTCGTTCGTTGCTTGAAAAAGAGGAACTATATATTTTCAAGTCTATTAACAAATAAGACAATTATGGTGTTCTCGATTTCAATCAAATTTTCGAATCTAAAATGGAGATAAATTAGAAATGAAAACTCGACGATCTAAAATAACAAGGAAAAGACGGTTAGACTTCTAAGAATAAAGGTGGTAATCTGATTTAGTTATCACTTGGTAAAATCATCTTGTATATACGTATGTTCAATAATACACATATGTATGTATATAATTTTGACTTATGCCCCGCAGAAATTGAAACGCGCCGTGTATAAAATTGTAGATATATTTACATGTGATTTTGTACTTTTCAAGTGTTAATAACTAGCACTCAAATATGACTATGTAAAATAACTTAAGGAAATCTATGTAAAAGTATATATATATATATATATATATTATTAATAATACTAACACTGTTTAAACTGTGCAAAAATTTATATTGCTTTTGCAGAATTTATTATTCGGAGCAGTTGAACGTGAAGATTGTGTTTAATCAATAATCAAGAAAGATCAAAGGCAACGAAATCTATTTGCCGATTTTATTTTGATTTTTTTCAAGCATCGAAATGTGAAATTGCCTTGTTTTTACACGCGGGTATATAGTACGATCAAGTGAAAAGCAAATGGTAATACATTCAAGCCTGATCTTAAAGTCTCTTGGCTTCTCTTCTCGTTTCAAATCTTCCAATAAACCAAGCGTTCAAGTTGACGCTCGACTGACTAAACTGGTAAACGAAAGTGGCAATAGAACAATGCAGAATGGAAATATACGTGACGTACACACATTTTCTATAATGGCAATTATGAGGATTATTGCTTTAGCGACTTTAAATGCTCTTCAAAGGCAATTGCGACTGTTCGCTTAATTAAATAACATTCACATTATTTATCAGAGTCCCTAATTCTAAGATGTGTGCTAAATTGTTACTGAAACAAGTTAAGTGAAAAGGTACACTATATAACAGTTGATACAGTTTGACGTTATTCACACGTAACATATTTAAAAAAGAAAAAGAAAGTTTGGTTAAAGGACATTCAAACTGTATCGAATATTCTGGCAGCAATGCTGCTGGAATAACACATGCGAGTTCGTTCGTTCATTTATTTATCTAGCTTCAACGTAAATAACAGTAATGATGATAGTGTGGCCATGGGTATGTATAGATGCGTGCGCTTACGCGCGTACACATAATAATAACAATCGAAAAAGCCTTTGACGGTTTTTAATTTGAGACTTTCATTTCGAGATACACGAGTAATACGAGAATTTAAGAGTTTTGTCTGTTGTTGAAACATCTCGGTCCGATTGCATCTGCTTTTGTTGGAAAGAATCTAAGGTGAGGAGCCCTTAATCTAAAGTTAAATCGCCCGTTTCATTCCACGAATTTTTAATGCTAAATTGACAGTAAAATTTTCTTTTTCTCAATCCTGTTTAATATTATCTTTTCACTCTTTTTAATATTATCTGTGGAAAACGACAAATGTTTATATGCATTGGTAATTCTAATTCTAATAGACAGTTTATACATCAGTAGATCTATTAGGTTTATATGTGTATTACATGTTCTAAGAGGCAAGGGCAACTTATGCTGACATGATTCGTGATGGGAAAGTTCTGATTCTCTATTTAGAATTCCCGTGAATGCAAGTAGTCGTTGGCATAATATTTTTGTCATGCGCATCGGTTAAATATTTGAATAACTATTCTGTTCTGTGAATTTTCATTTGTTGATTTGTATATAGATACCTCAAATAGATAGCTTCGTTCTGAATTTCTTATTTTACCTGTAGTGGCGTGAAACGTTTGATACTTATTGTAGTTGTAGTGGTTCTTTTAAGCTTGCAGTTTACTCCACCACAAAACTAGTACATTGCCCATGTGTAACATAGTATTTCGTATATGTATACATATGTGAGCTCCGACTTTGTCTCTTGTCTCTTCATATATTTTTTTTTAGATAAGAAGCTCGTTCTTTTCGTCACGTTGATTTGAATTTACAACTCTTGTTGCATTTCTTTAATATTCATCTTTTACATTCTTTCTTTTTCTTTCTTTTTTTTTTTT